GCGCTGATCGGCGAATATCTCGTATCGTTCCGACCTGAAGTGGGTGCACTTTCGTCCCCCGATGCATTTGTTTCCAATGGTCTTCAGCGTATTACCCTTGCAGGTTGTGCCGAATTGGAGCCGGGCGACGTTCTTGGCGTGTCTGCTGCACCGCTATTACGAGTACCGGTAGAAACCCTGAAGGCGGCTCCATCTTCGACTCCCACCGCCCCCCCGTCCTCTACATCACCGCATCGGGTCAACGCCGTTGGCCCCAAGTCCGGGACTCGCCGCTCTCCGGACCCAGCCTCCGCCCCGCCTCCTCCGAAGCCGCCTCCACAAGAACTGCTTGACCGCTTCTCCGAGGCCCAGCGCTCCAGTTTTCTGCGATTGTGGACTAGGCTACCCGCACATATGCACGACATCGCTTTCGATCTACACAACCCGGGATGGACACCGGTAGCTATTGATCGTTTGGCCGACGCCCTTGTTGAGTATTCCGACGTGTTCTCTACTTCGAAAACCGATTTTGGTTCCTGCACCGTCATGCCATTCACTCTTTCTGTCCCCGCAGGGACGAAGCCCGTCGCATCACGCCCGTAACGTATTGACCCGTTAATGCAGAAGAAAGTGGATGCCGTCTTGGACCAGTATTTGGCGGCAGGGCTCATTCAGCATTCCACTTCTCCCTGGGCTTCTCCCCTGGTCGTCATCCCCAAGAAGGACGGATCGGTTCGCATCACCGTCAACTACAAACGACTCAACGCCCTGGTGGACTTGGATGGACAACCTCTCCCTCGGGTGGACGGTATCTTGGATTCTCTCTACACCGGGAAAGTGTTCTCCATCTTCGATCTCAATTCGGCCTTCCACCAGATCGTTTGTGACGAAGACACTGTCCCGCTCACCGCCTTTTGCACTCCCACGCAGTTGTTCGAATGGCTTCGGATGCCGCAAGGAGCCAACGCCAGCCCGTCTTGGTTCGTCAAGGTCATCAACAGAGTGGTGCACGGTCTGGAGCGTGTGCTTGCCTATCTGGATGATGTTATCTGTTTCGATGAGGAACCTCTGGGACACGTGCTCCGTTCCCCCCGCCGCCGCCGCGGCGAAAACACTGCCGCCAGAGGTCGCCGCCGTCGCCGCCGGAGCTGCCGCCGATGCCGCCGCTCCGATGCCGCCGCTCCTGCCGCCACCGCGGGGACCCCGGACGTTCCCCCCGCCGCCGCCGCGGCGAAAACACTGCCGCCAGAGGTCGCCGCCGTCGCCGCCGGAGCTGCTGCCGATGCCGCCGCTCCTGCCGCCACCGCGGGGACCCCGGCCGTTCCCCCCGTCGCCGCCGCGGGGAAAACACTACTGCCAGAGGTCGCCGCCGTCGCCGCCGGAGCTGCTGCCGATGCCGCCGCTCCTGCCGCCACCGCGGGGACCCCGGCCGTTCCCCCCGCCGCCGCCGCGGGGAAAACACTGCCGCCAGAGGTCGCCGCCGTCGCCGCCGGAGCTGCTGCCGATGCCGCCGCTCCTGCCGCCACCGCGGGGACCCCGGCCGTTCCCCCCGCCGCCGCCGCGGGGAAAACACTGCCGCCAGAGGTCGCCGCCGTCGCCGCCGGAG